ATAGTTGATTAGTTAATGAAATTTTGATTGATTGCTATGTTTAGCATAAATACACAACATGTAGAAATATTGATTTATAGTATCAAGGAAACTTAAATCTCATTTTAAGGAGGACATCATATGGAAAAAAACAATTACATATAGATATGCAATTTAATCCTCAACAAAGCAATCTGATACATGTGGTTAGGATCCATAGAACAGAATGATTAGGGTTTGTTAAACAAGACAATGTTGAGTATTCTATATGTATTTCACATAAAATTTTAATACATGTCAATTGATAAAGAGAAAAGATGATGCATTCCTTATTGAAATATATCTTATGTAGAACTGAGGTTGAGATCATTCAATTACATGTAACATATTCTTTCCTTTAATGTACCTGACTATTCATTATATTTCAGCTGTGAACTTTTTCTTAGCTTCATCCTATTCTATATTTTACTTGCAGTAAGTTGGATTATAATATGGGATTTTGGCATTTCACCTTGGCCTATGACCATAAACTAGATGAAAAGGGCTACTATGATAGATAATAGATGATTCCATAGTAAAATCTTTGTAATATGCTGTAATGCAGAGATGAAACTAATGAGGCAATATTACAATGGCATAGATATAAAATATAACACTTCTATTAAAAAAATCAGTTGCACAAGGGTTAACACATAAGGTAGACAGCCCCAATATAGTTTAAGAGTGTTTTGTGGCTGGTAAAAATAATAAGACAATTTCACAGTACTTTCATGAAATAGAGTATGCAGATTATAGAATATACAGTTTCTGTACTGGCTGAATAAGTTTTGCAGTATTGCTTTCAGTTCTCAGACACATTTAAAGAAAGACAAACAAAAAACAAAACGTCATCTAAAGAAATGACACTGGTGTGTAACAAATTTGGAGACCTTGAAGTAGAAAGAACACTTCGGTGTTCTAAATATGTGAAATCTGAAGAAGAGAAACCTTGGAGAAAATATAATGAGTGTATATAAATATTTGAAGGCCTGTAATGGATTGTAGATTTCATTCTGTATTGCTCTGGAACAGAACTTCTGAGGATACAGCTCTCCAGATATGAAATGGGCTGTCTCTGAGTTATGACTGTCACCCTGGTAGTGTCTCCCTAGTAGTGTCATCCAAGGCTAGATATCATTTGTCAGGGATTCTGTAGAAGAATGTGAGTAAATTAACCTTGAGACCCCTTCAACTGTAAAATTTCCTAAATCTGTGTTTTTGAACCTTCACAGTTACAAGATGTATCCTAGAGCACACTTGACAATAAAATTCACAATCTCTCTTAAAATCTTTAAAAGTAAATATTTTAAAACCGTTAAGATAGATAGAATAGGCAGCTAACAAAGCAAAGTAAGTGGAACAAAAAAATGATGAATAACTCATGTCTTCATCATTAAAGGCATCTGAGATACTTAAAAAATTTTCATTGTATTTACTGCATGTGAAAATTGTATTTTATTAAAATGCAATGTTTTCACTTTTAGGTTTTCACTTCCAGTTACTGCAACAGCAGAAAACTGCATTCTTACTATTTACCCATATATAGCAATTCATCTGGATAGACACAGAATTCGTTTAAAGAATGGTAAGTTACATATGGCTGATTTCTCTCTAACTCACTGTACAGGTTCTTGTTATCGAAGGCCGACATCTAGAAATAAAATGAATTTAAAATTAACAGATGTTTATTAAACACCTGCCTGCCAAAAGCTGCACTTATCATTATGAGTAGAATATGATAGTGTCTCTTAATTCCAGAAGTTGACAATCTAGTGAAAGACACATAAATAAACTAATACAAAGAAAACTGAATTAAGAGCTCTTTCTATGAGTCAATTGAAGTGTTGGGCATTTAGGGGTGTTGCAGAGATTAATGCTGATGTTGGGGACCTGTAATGACTTTATAGAAGAGATGACCTTTGTGTAGAACTTAACAGATGATGACCTTGAACATGATGATTTGGGCAAAGGGCAATGTCACAAAAGCATGGGAGTGTGATGAGAGACAGAAGGAAGAAAATGTAGGTACAGAGCCATAGTGCTAAACCTTTTATTCCGTAGTAGAGAGAACCTTCTGTGGTTTTTGAGTGTCAGTGATTTAGAAAGGGAGCAGGTGTTGAGATGTGAGATGAATTAAAGTGGGACAGAAAGTGGCCGTTTGACCAGCTGAGAATTGCTGCAGGGGAAATAGTGAGATAAACTAAGAACAATCATCTTCCACGAAGTTTATAGTGGCATAGCATTCTGGGGATATGCACGCCTATTGGGTAAAGATTTTCTGGCACATTCTGAATGATTTTGTACTGAAAGATTGGATAAAATTAGTATATTCTGCTTATTTCTATTTGTTATTGCCTTTAAAGTAATCCTCACAACAAATTCATGAGCTCAGAGACGTTGATTTCATTTTATAGATAAACGTGTTTCAGATAATTTGGATAACATAACTACAGTTTAACTTGTCAGGACTGGTAGTGCCAAGCTTTCAAATCAGACTTTTCTAACTGACCAGATCATGCTTTTCTGGCAGAATTAGACTATGAATACATATAAATTACAAATATATTTTGATGCTTGGTCTTAGGTCACGGCTACTCACTTTTCTCGATCAGCACTGCCAATGGTTGGATTTGAATTCATACTGTGACAAACTCTTATGTATATACAACTCTAACTGGAATACAGATTGAAATATATGCAAAATGGTATCAGCTTGTAACATATTATTACAGAATTAACTAGGAGGAAATTACTTTTGTTGCTGATTTTTTTCTTATATCTGATTTTGAACACCGTATATAATCCAATTTTTTGGTGTAGAAACATTTAAAATGTTTTACATATCCTTATTTATGCTGAAATTGAACATTGCTCATTATCCAATAACTTTAGTATAACATAACAATTGTCTTATCAAATAAATTTTATTTAATTTATTATATTAATAGAAAATCATATAATTTTTGTTTTTTATTTTTTTCTTATTTGACATCTTATTTTATATGTAATGGATGTTTAGAGTTTTTTTTTTTACTTTGTCATATATGTATATATAGATAGAAATACAGATATATTAGACAGATTCAAGTTAAATAATTTGATAGTGAAATCCATAAATGTTTGTTTGATTTACTATGACCCAATGTGTCATTTGTAGATCAGCATGGAAGTCCTGTGAAGACTAGAGAAAGTGATTTGCTTTCCCACCAGGATGCTAGATCACCTTCTCTTACTTCAATTAGAAAGACATCCACCAGTACTAAATTTGGTGATGCTGAACCTGAAAGGAGAAATTTATTTGTTGGTATGTGGCAAATATATAATGTACCTCCCAAACCCACTCCATGACATGATCTGCTTAATTTCATTTAATTTAAAAGTTAGGCTTTTTAAGGTAAAAATAAATTTATGGAGAAAACCATGAATTTTTCATTAGTCTTAAGTGGGTCATGTGTTTTGGGAGTTCTCTTCAATGATCAACAGCAGAGGTTCTCTAATGTTCATGGTTGATGGCACCCTTGGTATCTCAGTCGGTACTTTTCCCTAGGCCAAAACATGTACCACGCAGTTCCATTTATTAAGTGTATTTGGTACAAAAATCTAAGCTTATGTGCTCTCCAACAGATGTTGCAGTAATATTTAACTAAAATGTTAAATATCCTACAGAGCCCCAGTAAATTTGCTGTGACATCTCAAGCACTCTCTGTGCATAGTTTAGGATCTGCAGAACTAAGGGATTTTTCTCCTCATTATCTAACTCTAGCCAAGGTTTCCTGTCTTAGAAAGAGGCGATCACAGAAAAATATGTGAGTTTTATACTATTATTTTCAATTAACTGTTTAAATATTTCTTCCCCTGGATGTTGGTAATATTAAATTTGTTCCTTTTTTTTGAATGAAGCAAACCAAATTAGTGTGTGGCTACCATTATATGAGCAGATATCTTTAAAGAAAAAGATAAAACCATTTTATATTTTCAAAAATGTCCTTAACTCAGAAATGTTTTATTGATGTGCTTGATTTGGATAGAAAGTCAATTTGAATCTAAAGCCAATATTTTGTTTCTATAATTTTTTCAGCTGAGGTTTAATTTTGTCTAATAAGTAATGCTGAAAAATTGTCAATACATTATATTAATGTAATTAGAAATGAAAGATTCTGCTTCGGGGAATGTTTTCTCATACAATTATGGCAAGAAAAAAAATGTAACTGCTTTTCTTGTTGCAATTTTTAAGCATTTCTGTTGGGTATTTGAAAATAAATATATTTTCACGTTTATTTTAAGATACAGTAAATCGACTCTGTTTGAGAGCATAGAACAATTTGTAGAATGGGTTCTATTTATCTACATACAAATGACAATTACTGACAGACTATTTCTATTGGTCAAGTAACTCTTTTTACAAATAAATGTGAATTTTAGGAATGGAAATAATACCTGAAAATTTGGGCTTGGATGACAATGAAGCATCAAAGAAAGATGACAGATTTGTGAAAAAGGAGGAGACAAATGAACAATCCTATACTCTTGGAGAAGGAACAAAAGCATATAACTTCTTTCAGAAGGTTGTGAATGCAGCTCAGACCTGGTTCGGTCTCTTCGGCTGGCCTGAAGGACCCCATTCCCTTTCTATTCCAGAGACTATAAGAAGGTGACAGTTACATGCCTTGCTTTGTATAACATCATAAAATATAATCTATTTATTGGGATCATTTTAAGTGAAAGGATATTAAATAATTTATTATAGACTGTTAAATTATAAGGGATCCATTAAGGAGTAAAAATGCAAATATAAATTCTTTAGTATACATGTCCTTTTTAATTTCTTCTAGACGTGATGATTTTAGGCAAGCACTGAAAAACTCTGCACTTCAGTTTCCTCATATGTGAAATGAGAAAGAGCAAACTGTGGCTAGGAAAGCCCTTCTAAATTTGAGAATTTTGGAAACTATACATTTCTGTGTAAATAAACCATCAGCCCAAGGTCTAGAGTATAGTCAGGTAGACAGATGGTGATGTTAGTGAACAGGGAGAGTTTCTTTGTACTGTCATCTCCTCTTTGCCAATGCATTTACCTCCTTTCTTTCATGAGCTGTTTCATTACTCAGCATGTCTAAAATACTTAAATTTCTTTGATTATATCAACTCACTTAATTCTGTTGTTAATTTAAACAGGAGTTTAGGCCCTTCACCTGTTATAGTGTTGTGGTGTAGTGGATTTTCAGAGCTTTTTTCTACCTCCTTTCTCAGCACTGGGGTAACTCGCTGCCACCACAGGGGAATCCAGGATTGATCTCTACAGTTATATGGGCTATATTTAGAATTTCTGCTCTATATTCAAGACTGTGCTAGATTAAGCTAAGTCTATCGTTTCCCTGTATGTTAACTTTGTCAACTTTTTAAAAATTAATTAGACAATTTCACCTTCATAGAATGATTTGGCTAATATATTATCTTTGTTTGTGATGTGGGAAAATTAATAGAGCAGATACGCTGAAATTTGTAGTTTTCATCATAAAATCATCTGGCTCCAGGGAATCTTTTAAAGAAGTTAGTCTCTAAACATTTTGATTAAATTTTATTGATTTGTTTTAATTTGGGGAGAAATAATTTTTTATTTTTTTTATTTCGGAATATTATGGAGGTACAAACATTTTGGTTACACATAATGCCTTTCCCTCACCCAAGCCAGGGCTAGAAGCGTACCCGTCCTCCATACATTATGCTCCATCTCCATTAGTTGTGACTTTACCTCCCCCACCCCCGCCACCTGACCAGTACCCAGTGAGTATTACTACCATGTGAGCACCTTAATGTTGATCAGTTAGTACCAATTTGATGGTGAGTACATGTAGTGCTTGTTTTTCCATCCTTGTGATACCTCACTGCGAAGGATGGGCTCCAGCTCTATCCGGGATAATACAAGAGGTGCTAGATCACCATTGTTTTTTATAGTTGAGTAGAACTCCATGGTATACATGTACCACATTTTATTAATCCACTCATGTATTGATGGGCACTTGGGTTGTTTCCACATCTTTGCAATTGTGAATTGTGCTGCTATGA